AGACATCGTTGCCTCGTTCCTCGTCTTTGCAGGAAAGGGTCCAGCTTCTCACCGTTAAGTATGATGCTCGCTGTACATTTTTTGGTAGATGTTCTCAATCAAACTAAGGAAGTTCTTGATTCTCAGTTTGCCCAGAGATGGGTTGGTTGGTTGGTTTTTCATTAGGGATGGCTGTTGGATTTAGTCACATCCTTTTCTGCATCGGTTGATATGATCATATGATTCTTCTTCTTGAGCCGGTTGACCTGGTGTGTTACACGGATTGATCTGCAGGTGTTGAGCCAGCCTCGTGTACCTGGTGTACACCCCACTTGGTGGTGGTGTCTTATTCTTTCCATACCTTGTTGGATTTGATTTGCTAATATTTTGCTGAGGAGTTTTGCATGGGAGATACTGGTTTGTAGTTTTCCTGTTTTGTAAAACCTTTCTCTGGTTTTGGAATTAGGATAATGCTGGCCTCAGAGAATGAGGTAGCATGCTAACACTAATGAAAGGAAAGCCGGAGTAGCTATATTAATTAATTACTCTAGTATGCATTTAATATCCAAGAAATCAGTAGTGATAACCTCTCTTTCATTTCTGATATTGGCAATTTGTGTCTTCCCTCCTTTTTCCTTCCTTAGCCCAGCTGGAGGCCTGGCACTTTTATTGATCTTTCAAAGAACCAGCTTTTGGTTTTATTGATTTTTTTTTCACTGTTTTTCTACTTTCAATTTAGTTGATATAATTTTTATTATTTTCTCCTTTTTTTTTTCCTTCTGTCTTTAGGATTAAGTTGCCCTTTTTTTCTGTAGCTTTTAAAAGGAGAAGCTTAGATTCCTGATACTCAGTTTTTTAATCTTTTCTAATTTACACCCTTATTGCTATAAATTTCCCTCTTAACACTGCTTTTGTTGCATCACATAGTTTTTTCTAAGTTGTGTGTTCATTTTCGTTTAGTTCAAAAACTTAATAATTTCTCTCAAGACTTCTTTTTTGACCTACGTGTTATGTGGAAGTGTGTTTAATCTCCGTATGTTTGGGGATTTTCCAGCTCTCTTCCTGTTACTGATTTCTAGTTTAGTTCCATCGTAATCTGAGAATGTCCTGTATGTGATTTATATTTGATTTAAATTTGTTAAGGTACATTTTATGGGCCAGAGCATGTTCTGTCTTGGTGAATAGTCCATGCAAGCTTGAGAAGAATGAGTCTTCTGCTGTAGTTGGATGGAGTGTTCTGTCCATGTCATTTAGATCCAGGTGATGGATTGTGCTCTCAGGTCATCTGTATTCCTTTTGATTTTCTACCTGCTTGATCTGTCAATTACTGAAATATGGGTACTGAGTTCCCCAGCTATAGTAGTATATTAGTCTTTTTCTCCTTGTAGTTCTCTCAGTTTTTGCTACCTGTCTTTTGCTGCTCTGTTAGATGCACCCTAGGATTGCTGTGTCTTCTTTCAGAATTTACCCCTTTATCACTCTGTAATGCCCCTCTTTTTCTCTGATCATTTTTCTTGTCCTGAAGTCTACTTTGTCTGAAATTCATATAGCTAGTTGAGCTTTCTTTTCATTAGTGTTAGCATGGTGTATCTTTCTCCATTCCCTTACTGCCCCATCCATCCCCCATCTCTTTTCTTTTAACCTGAATCTTAATAAAATGGATTTCTTGTGAACAGCAACTGAACTTTTTTTTTAAACATTTTAATCCAATTGGAGATCTCTTTTCATTAGCGTATTTAGACCATTCACATTTAAAGTGATTATTAATAAACAGTTGACCCTTGTGCAGTAAAAATTCTGTGTATGAGTTACAGTTAGCCCTCCATATAGACGCTTCCTCCATGTCTGTGTTTCCCTGTATCCGTGGATTCAGATAACCAGGGATTCATGTAGTGGTATAGTGTTTACTATTGAAAAAAAATCTGTGTATTACATGGAGCCGTGCAGTTCAAGCCTGTATTGATCGAGGGTGAATTGTAGTTGTGTTAATATCTACCATATTCTCTATTCATTGCGTTAAAAAAAGAAAAAAACCTCTCTGCCTTATGTGGTTTCAGTGGGATATTTTATGATTTCATTTTCTCTTCTCTTTTAGGATATCAATTACACTTCTTTAAAAAATTTTTGTGGGAGTTGCCCTAGAGTTTGAACTATATGTTTTAAACTATGCATTTTAAACCAGTCTACCTTCAAATAACACTACATGAAGGGAGGTATCTTAGAGTGTTTTCAAGGCTCCCCTGTCATCCTGTGGTGTTTCTGCCGTTCACCTCCTCTGTGTGCTGTGGTCATTTTCACTATTATTACTTTAACATTTATCTTTTCAATCAGTTAAGAATAGGAAAAATTTAAAAAAAATTATTTTGCTTCTGTTTATTTCTTCTCCAGCACACTGCTTGCTTTCTTTATGTAGGTCTTAGTTCTAACCTGTATCATTTTTCTTTCTCTCTGAAGAACTTCTTTGAATATTTATTACTGGTTAGGGAATAATCTGGAAATGTATTTTGTCAGTTTTTGTTTGTCTAATAAAGTCTTTATTTCTCCTTTATTTTTGAAGAATAATTTCACTAGATACAGAATTCTAGGATGGTATTTTTTTCTTTCAATACTTTAAATGTCTTATTTCATATTCTTGCTTTTTGGTTTCTAACAAGAAGTCTGCTCTAATTCTTTGTTCCTCTAGAGGTAAGCTGTTTTATCCCTTTTTGATTTTCCCTTTGCCTGTGGTTTCTGTAGTTTGAACATGGTATGCCTATATGCGTAATCTTTGGTATTTAACTGGCGTGATGTTGCCTGAGCTTCCTGTATCTGTAGGTTGGTGTCGGTAATTAATTCTAGAAAATTCACATCCATTATAACTTCAAATAATTTTCTCTTTCTTCTTCTGGTATTCCAATTATGTACGTCTTAGAGCTTTTGGGATTGTTCCACAGTTCTTGGATGTGCCTTCTTGTTTGTTCATCCTTTTTCCAGTTTGGGAGTTTGCTCTTGACTTATGTTCAGGCTCCTCTTGGCTGGGTCCAGTCTACTGAGGAGCCCATCAGAGGCAGTCTTCGTCTCTGTTACTGTGTTTTTGATTTCTGGCATTTCTTTTTGACCTGTTCTTGGAGTTTCCATTTCTCTGATGCATTACCTATCTGTTCTTGCATATTGTCTACCTTTTCGTTAGAGCCCTTTACCTATTCATCACAGTTATTGTAAATTCCCTGTCTGATCATTCCAAGATCAGCACCGTGTATGAGGCTTTTACTTACTAATGCTTGCTTTGCTCTTCAGATTGTGTTTTTTCTTGCCTTTCAGCATTCTTTGTAATTTCTTTGTTGAAAGCCAGACATGATGTATCAGGTAATAAGAACTGAAGAAGTAGTTCTTTAGCGTGAATTTTACATTATTCTGACCGTGACCTGGTCTGTGTTTAACGTTTGTTGTAGCTGTAGGTGCCAGAGGGCTCAGATTCCTCAGGTGTCCTGGTTTTGATTTCTCCTTTTCGTCTTTGCGCTTCTTGAGGAAGCTTTCTCAGAGTCTCTTCCTGCTGTCATCCACTGTCACACTGGAGCTGTTGATGCGGTGGTGAAGTCTGGGGAGGGGAAGAATCCTGTAATCTCATCAGTGAATCTGAGTCTTTCAGGAGCCTCTGCCTCTGCTCTGTGCCCTTACACACAGAGCAGTATTTTTTTTTTTTACAGTATTTCTTAGCTCCCCGCTTCCCTCCCCTTAAGTGAGACAGCGAGGCTGGGGGGATGGAGTCTGAGAGAGTAGGCCTTTGTTACACACACAGAGAATGCTCTGAGCTTTATGCCCCCAGCAGTTTGTCAAAACCACCGTCTAAAGGTTCTTACCAGTTTCTGGCTCTTGTGGACAGTGCTGGAGACCGTGTGTCTGTAAGTGTATGTGTGTATCTGTGCATGTATATATGTGTGTTCACATATTTATATACATATATATTCACCGACAGTTTTATACACATCTACATACATGAAAACTGAGTTCACACCAAAATTTCCAGTTGTGATCTGTGAATTGCCAGCCCTGTCAGTAAACAGAGGATGCTGCGGCCATCAAGTCAGCTGCTACGGCCGCCCCCAGCAGTGAGTGAAGGGAACTCATGATGCTGGCAAGCAGGCAGCCTGGCCTCTGCAGCCACCCCCAAAGGTGCCCTCTGAGGGGACTCAGGATGGGAAAGGACAGCATTACCACTTAAAAAAAAGAAAAGAATTATTTGTGAAGTAAGGTGAGGGGCTTAATCCTCTCAACCGCCTTGAGTCCTGGCCACACAAGCCCCGGGGAAAGTAGCTGCCGCTGCTTTCCCTCTGCTGTTGATTCACGGTGCTTTTCTGCAGCAGGGAGGGAGACCTTCCTGTTGGGTGCTGTACGGTCTGTGAAGCACTTGGGTACGTTTTCCTGATTGCTTCTCACGGTTCCCTTCTGGGTCATTCTTCCATCTTTGAGATGATGATACAGTAATTATAATAATGGGCGAGACTGCGGTGGTCCTTCTCCCGGCCAGCTGATAGTCCATGCCGCGGTATTAACTCATTTAATTCTCGTGGTTACCCGATGAGGAAGGTACACTGTGATTATTCCCTTTGACACACGGTGAAACCGGGGCACAGAGAAGTTAAGTAACTTGCCCAAGGTCACACAGCTGGAAAGTGGTGGAGCCCAAATTCAAGTCAGGCATTCGGATTCTGGATCCCCAGCCTTTATTTACTGTGTTGTGTGGCCCCCTGTACTGAGATGCCAGGGGATGCAGACCCTCAGCCAGGGCAGAGGGCTTTTTGGGTTTCCTTGTTCGCTTTCCCATTGACTCTGCCAATCAGTGCCGAGTGGCTGCAAACATCAGGCCCTGTTGCCGATGCCGGGAGATGGGACAAGGCAGCTGGAGCCCTGGGCCTCGTGAGCTGGAGACCCCAGGCCTGCTGCCCGGGGGGTCAAGTCCAGACGCAGGGCCCGAGTGCGGGGAGCAGCCGGTCAGCCCCTGTGCTCACGCATGTGCTTTGTCCTCCTTTTTGTCTTTGAAGGTCGCCTGGTGGGTGCCCTGGATGCAGTGCTGGATTCCAACGCCCGGGTCGCCCCGTTTCGGATCCTGCTGCAGGTCCCCGGCTCCCAGGTGTATTCCCCCATAGCATGTGGTGAGTTACTGAGTGGATCGGACGTTTACTGGGCCATAGCCGCTGGTGAGTTTTGTTCCAGGTGGAATATTCCAAACCTTAAGGTGTGAGCATGCTGAGTATCTGCATGTTGGTGACGCTTGAAGGTAACTCTTTTAGAACCGCATCTGCTATTATGAGCTCTTTTTTCTTCCTTCCTTCCTCCCCCGAATCAAAAGCACAGGGAGGCTCGAAGCTTGGGCAGCCAGGCTTTGGAGTGGCGTGTTGTTCCGGGGTCGGTGCACCATTGTGTATGCGTTGAGCCGTTTTCTTCTTAATCCTGTGTCTGACTTAAGACCCGTGTCCTGGGTGTGCACACATCCCGAAGCGGTGCCGGGGAGCTGTCTGAGGGCTGGCTTTCGCTCTGGCCAGTCTTCACCCCTTGCTCCACATCTGCACTGAACCTCTGGGCGGCTGCCCCTGCGGGAATTCAGAAATCACCTTCCCACCCTCTCCATCTGAGTTTCGGTTCCTCCTGTGCACACCGTCCAACACTCTGCCTCGCCGCTCACACGCCTCTGGAGCTGGTGATCGTTGCATCCTGCAAAGACTCTTCTAGTAAAAAAGCAAACCAAGGTGTATCTTTTCAATGACACAAGTAATAAATGTTCACCCTCCAGAAATTAATTAATAAAAATAGGTAAGAAAGAAGGAAAAAGAAATCATCTATAACTTTTTATCCAGTGCTGATCACTCTTCTGTCTACGTATGTGCTTCTACGCAGAGGTTTTCAGTTGTGGGATTTTTTTCCTCTTAGTAGTTTACCAGCTGCCGTGAGCTTTCCATGTCACCTCTCATTCCATAACAGTGTTAGATTACTTGTTTTTTTTTCCTGGAAAACAATCAAGGAAAGTATAAAGAAGAAAATTGTCTGTATCCACCATCCATTCCTAACCACTGTTAACATCTTGGCATGTTTTTTTTTTCCAGTTTGTTTTGTTTTTTTTTTTGGACAGATTGTTCTCTGTTTGCATCAAATGATAAAATGATGCATGCTCAGTATAATCAATTAACACTGAAAAGTACAAAGAAGAAATAAATCTCATCCACATCCTAGCCACCCCAGGTGACCTCCAGCGACGCTGGGCTCCCATCATTCAGACAACTTCCTAGTGCATTTCGACGAGCTCAGGGATAGCTCTGAAGGATGGATGCATCTTATAAAAGTGCAGCTGGTCTGACAGTGCTGTTTTGTAGCAAGCATATGGTTTTTCATTGATTTCAATAAAAGGAGAGGAGTTGAAGTGAAACCAAAGAGCTGTTAAACTTCAAAGAAATGTCTCTTTTAACACAGAGTGCTTCCCGTCTAAAAGGTTCATTGAAGGTCAAGGGGAGCGATGTTTGAAAGCGTGACAAGGTCAGAATGGTGGCTTTTTAAATCAGTGTCTCTGTTGCGACAGTGTTCACTGACTCCCTCCCGGAGGATGAGGATGCCAGTTTTCCTCCCTCCCCTGCTTCCCCGGGCTTCCGTTTTAGAAAGTCCTATTATTCCATTTACACGGTGGTTCCCGTTCTGTTCTGTGATCACGCTTGCCACCACGATTCGGCTCAGTTCCCTGTTTAAGCTGATTGAAAGCTTCTCACTCAGGTATATCTTTTCCAACACAGAATCTTTAATTTTGGCTCATCTCTTAATTGGCTGTATTCCCTGTTTCTTCTCCTAATAATGTCTCCCGTTTGTAAATGTCTGTCCCTTCCCTGCCCTTGGACTTGAATGACCCGTTGGCTGGGGGTGTGATGGTCTCTGGCTGTGTTCCTGAGCTCGGGGGCCATCGCTCCAGGATCTTTCAGTACTTAAGTGACGGGGGAAGAAATCTAACGCTGGTCTGATTTTTTTACCCCCCTTTGTGGGTGATGTGCTTTTTGTGCATGTAACTGTTTATATCGCTGAATTCTAGTAACGTTATAATCTGGTAGTGCCTTGAGCACATGGTGTTACACTTTCCTGGAACTCCAGTGCTCTTCCAGGACACAGATTGATTTCTTTAATCACTTTCGGGAAGTTTTCTTGTATCATTCTGTGTACGTATTACATTTTTTAAAAACGTATATTATGTTTCATTGATTGGCCTCCCCACTTCAAGGACACTGAATGTTGCATAGCTGTTGTCTGGTTTCCATTTCCATCTGTTTTCTTTTTTTTTTGTAAAAATGCGCAGATCCTTAATAGAAGAATTGACTAAACAAGTGTATTGTTTCGTTTTTACTTCGTATCCGTGTTACTGGTTATGCTGTAGGATTTAACTGTCAAATCACTTAAAGGCAACTAT